GCCACCCCTGGCCTGGGCTCACTGGTGCCTATAGTCTGCTCATCCACTATGCACAAGATGGAAAGTGTACTAACTTCACCATCAACCAATATCCAGCCTGATGGGAAGGAAATTTAACATTTGCATTTCTGTATCTAATGATACCCAGACCCAGCTGTGCTAGAGTTCATCAACAAGCACTCCTGATTCCTTTCATTCTAATGAGCTGGGAGGGATAGGGTGGCTCTTACAGTGGAAATGGGCTAAGGCCAGCATGGGGGAGATAAGGGAGCTCACCAACCTGATTGGTGGATACTACACGGGGGCTTCCTGCCCTCCCGACCCACCCACCTTGCCCTCCCCAGCCACTCATCCATGTCTGGAAAATGGGGGAAGGGAGGCCAAAGAAGCTGCAACCACAGTAACGTTTCACGAAGCCAACTGAAGAGAGATCAATGAAACTGGCAAAAGACCTTGAAAGTGACAGCAACCAGTCTTGAATGGTCTCCTGAGAACAAATCTGGCATGGAAAGAAGAGGAAGAGATCAGCCTTGGAACTGTGGCACCTGAACTATATGTGGTGTAGTGAGCAGCGGAGACATGTGCGGGGGCTGGAGCTGGTGGAACAGGACAGGAGAAAGGGGAAAGGGGGTGGGAGGAGGACTGAGCGGCTCAGGGTTCGCAGACCATCGTGGTCCAGGAACACACTGCTGGACTCCCAGTCAGACTTGGAGGCTGCTGCATCACCTCTAGAATTTTAATAATTTTGTTTGTCCTCTGCATTTATCTTAAAGGTCAGATCAGAAAAGTAATCTTAAAAATCATAAAAGTAATCTTAAAAATCTATCATTCAACGTGATATTAGGCATTGATAGCGTATCCCAAAGAGCAAAGAAATGGAAGCTGGGCATTGAGATGAATTCTGCTGAGTCCACAGCCACACCCACAGAGAAAGACTATGGGATACCACACTCAGAACCTGAAGCCTGGAACCCTATGTATGCCAGAATGTAGATAAATAACAAGAATAAAAAAGAGCCAGTCTCTCCTTCTCTAATCTGATGCCCCAAATCTGTCCTTTTGTCACAGGACACACAAGGCAGCCTGGAGAGGACCTGAAGAGCCCTTCTATTTCTCAGTTCTAGAGGTAGAACTGTTGACCAGGAGTGGCAGTTTCCCCCATCTAGCCCACAGAATTTTATGGGAATCAAAGACTTGACCTCACCACCCATGTTGACTTGATGGTGTCCATGCTAAAGCCCAAGGCAGTTATTTGGCAAATCTCAGCAGCCACTTCTTTCCTTTTGGTAGGTCATTTGCACCATCTTAGCAGCAGCCCACCTGCATCTCTTGATCAATTAAAAAACAACTTAAAAACTTGGAAAGAAAACTGAATACAAAGGTAGTGGGCATAATGGAATAGATACCCACATATGAAATTTAATTGATTGTGCCGCTGAGTGGGCCCTCAATTTGATGCCCACAGCCTGCTGCTGTTCCAGTAATAACTTCACCCATTGCTTCCCTCGCAGACCCTAGTGCATGATGGCGAAACTTTTAGAGCTTTCAGTGATACAAACAGCCCACTGGGGTACATGCATGCCATAGATAAGTCACCACTGCCCTGGTGTGTTAATATATAGCTTCATTGGTAAATTAAGCTTTGCCAGGGAAGATGGGTGGATACTAGTCCAATCACAGGTTGTGGCTGTGAGACCGGAGAGGAACAGGTGGACTTCAGAGATGCTTCGGAGGAGAAGTGAGCAGATTGGAGATGGGGGTGTGGAATGAGAGAGAGGAGCAATGAGACTGCACATGAGCCTGACCCTGAGGCTTTCATAATCCTCCCAGGCTCAGCCTTATTCTTCTGTCTTAAATGAGGTCTGGGAGAAACCAGATAGACTCAAGGGGTTTCTTACTAAGACTCAAAGTCTATGGACTAATGATTTGGAAAGTGCAATCAGTCTTATGCCTGCAGGGCAAATACAGGGCAAGTACTCTGATGAACACTGTACAGTAGACACGGGTGCACAAGGTTGGGGTGGGGGTTATAAGAAAGAGCTCTCTGTTAGGTGGCTGGAGGAGGCGGGGAGTTGGGTGGTGGGAGGCAGTATCTCTGTACCTGATAGGCCTCAAATAGGGAAGAGCAAGCTCCACACAGAAGACTTGGGAGAGCACTGGGGTCCTGCCATAGTATGGACTCCCCCTAAAAAGTTCAGAATCATGCAGTACTGTGGGCTCAGAAAGTTAGGAGAAATCCTCTTCCCGGCCACTTATGGAAAGCTGAGAAGAACCACCGGTACCCTTGGATCTTGGTTTGTGCAGTCTCCCTCATGCTGTGTGCTTGTACAGCCAGCTCAGCTCTTCCAAGTTTCTCATCTGCCCAAGGGTAGGCCTGAGGGTAGGTGCCAGCTATCTCCCCACTCTGCACATCCCCTTCTGCTACATCCTAAATGTCATTGGAATCCTCCCAGTAAGGCTGCAATTTCAGCTCACACCATCTTTCTCAAATTCTGAACTATGAATAGAACTAAGATGCCTTCTGTCATAAGCCAGGGATCTCAGAAGCATCTGTGCCAGTCCCATGGCTCAGCAGGGATAGAGCGGTCCTCTCAGGCAAGCCACAGGTGGAGGACAAGGCAGATGCAGGCTCCTGAGCACAGCATACCTGTCAAAAGAGGGCCGCTCCCCGGCATCGAAAGCATCTCTCAGCTGCTTCACCAGGTTGTCCTGCCCGGGCAGGCGGAAGATGCCCTCTTCATTCATGCCATGCTCCAGGATGAACTCCGCACACTTCTCCACCAGGATGGGTACTGAGTGGGTGCCAAACTTCTGTTCATAGGCTACAGTCTCATCCAAGCGCTGGCCAAAGACCGCTGGAAGAGATGACACAGGACCCACTCATCATTCAGAGTTGGCCTGAATTAACTGGTGGGGCAAAGCGCTGTGTGTCAACCATGATGCTAAAGTATTTAGCCCAGTGACACAAGCAGAACATGGAGCACTAAGTACAGTATTTCCGGGTCTACAAATGTGGCAGTTATAAATGGGAGGCAGTCCCTGTCAGTCTTTCTCTTTTTTACTGATCCACATTTTAGTATACATATTTAAAATAGCAGCTGGCTTTTACAGAGGACTTGTGTGCCAGGTGTCCTGTCACACTCTTCACACACCTTTTGTCATTTCATGCAGACCCCAAACCACTGAGTTGGTAGCACAGTCAGGCCCACTTCACTGTGACAGACCCTGGACCTTACAGGTACTGGTGAGCTTGTCGCATCGGGCAGCGCAGGGCATGGCCCTGTCAGAATTCAAGCCCAGACAGTAAACGCCAGAGAATGTGGGAAACCGCAGCAACAAGCGGGCTGCTCTGACTTCTGACTGCATCCAGAGTATGAAAGCATAATAGTGTCATCTCATGACTGACTCAAGACCATAGTAGACTGTGGTAGTGCTTAAAATAATTCAGGCTCTTTACTATGTCCGACTATCATAAACACAGCCACGCTGAACACGTACTCACCAAGTTCCTGGAATGTATGCGCTACAAACGCATAATGCCTAATTAATCGCTTCGTATATTAACATTTAGATGGATAAACACCAGTATTTCATCCTTTTGAACTATTTCCCTAGGGCAAATTCCTACATGGAGAACTACAGGGTCAAGTGGTTTGAACATTTTTGTGACCTGACGGTATGCAAATTGCTTTCCCAAACTATTTTTCCAAATCGCATAGCCTCCAACAAAGCAAGCTTGCTTTGGCTCGGCGCTGGCCCTGTCAGCACTCAGCTCCATAATTTCTCCGCCCCTGCCCGGAACAGAATTAGTTTCTCAATGAGGACAATCAATCGTTGCCTCCTTATTATCCCACCACACTCCCACGCTCTGCACTATGTGGAGGCTCAGCAGGCAAGTCCTGGCTTCCCTTCTGTCCTACCCTATCTTCCCTCTGTCACAATGGAGATGCTACTGTACCCAGCACTAGGATTCCTAAGATGCCTGTCTGTGCAGTCCTGGAGTTCTCCCCACTATGCTTTCTCTCTCTCTCTCTCTCTCTCTCTCTCTCTCTCTCTCTCTCTCTCTCTCTGGCTGGTCCCCTTTCACCAGATCCTAATTCATATGGATTTCACCTGTACCATCCGCTCCAGCTGCACCAGTCTCTGGAATCCTCTGGTCCTCCCAGCCCTCCCTCTGGCCCATACCTACCAGCATCTCTCCTTTTTACCACTTTCAAAATCCTCCTGATTACTTACCTTCCTCAGAACTAGTCTCCCTGAGCACGGTAGCTCTGGTTTTGAACACCCTTCTGCCCCAGCCAGCTGCCTCAGAGGTGTTCCTTGAATACCCCCTCAAAGCCTGGGTGGCCCTCAGAGCCCCGCCCTTGCTGCTTCAGGTGCAGGGGTAGGAGGAGGTCAGATCTCATCTCAGCTGCCTCTGCCAGGCTGTTCTCTGTTGGACTTATTATATTTCAAGATTTTATTAGCTTAGGGGCCTGGGAGATAGCTCAGTGGAATAAGTGCTTGCCTGGCAAGCACAAGGTCCTGAGTTCAATCTCTGGTACTATGGAAAAAGAAAAAAAATAAGATGTTATTAGTCTAAACATCTTTGTGGCTGAAGTTTGGAAACCAAACCTGGTAATCCTCAGACAGGCTAGGCATCCACCTATTTTTAGTGTGACATCCTGCCATGCCTCTACTGCCTTCTTTCTGTGAGCTCTCAGTCTCAATTAAAAAACCACTTAAAAACTTGGAAAGAAAACTGAATACAAAGGTAGTGGGCATAATGGAATAGATACCCACATATGAAATTTAATTGATTGTGCCGCTGAGTGGGCCCTCAATTTGATGCCCACAGCCTGCTGCTGTTCCAGTAATAACTTCACCCATTGCTTCCCTCGCAGACCCTAGTGCATGATGGCGAAACTTTTAGAGCTTTCAGTGATACAAACAGCCCACTGGGGTACATGCATGCCATAGATAAGTCACCACTGCCCTGGTGTGTTAATATATAGCTTCATTGGTAAATTAAGCTTTGCCAGGGAAGATGGGTGGATACTAGTCCAATGACAGGTTGTGGCTGTGAGACCGGAGAGGAACAGGTGGACTTCAGAGATGCTTCGGAGGAGAAGTGAGCAGATTGGAGATGGGGGTGTGGAATGAGAGAGAGGAGCAATGAGACTGCACATGAGCCTGACCCTGAGGTCAGGTTTTTAATTCTACAGTCTGTCCTCTCCCTTCCTGGCTGGTGAAATCCTATGTCCTCCCTGACCTCTCTCAACTACCCTTGTCTCTGCCAGGCCTTCTCTGGGTCCTGCACAGAGAGACCACTTCCTGTTTTGTGCACCCCATCCTACCTCACACCTCCGCATCCCATCTTGCACCTCCCCATCCCATCTCACACCTCCCCACCCATGCCACACTGTAGTCTGTGTGCACCAGTGTACCTTGCAGGGCCACAGGCCCCTGAGGCCAGGAATACTGGTGGTGGGGGGATATTTTTTCATCCCCAGTGTTTAGCATAATGCCTGGCACAAGAAAAACTTTTGTTGAATGAGTTAATAAATCCTTTTGTCTGCAAGTATTTTCCATACAGGATGATGATCTGGGCATTTCGCTCGTTGAAACGCTAGTGAGCATCTTCTTGGAAAATTTCTCTCCTTGCACCCTAGTGGTTGCCAAGGGTCCCACAATGTGCTCTGCTTTGTGTGGGGATCATGGAAAGGGATACACATACCAGAGATAGGGGAAACCCGGATCTTTCTTTGCTTTTCTTACCACTCAGGCATGGAAGGAAAGGACCACCCAAATGGTGGTGAGAAACAACCAGGGAAGGTAACTGTGAAGTTAGGCTCCTACTCATCTGTGGGAGGAGCTGGATACCCAAATCTGCTAAATGATATGACCTGTAAGCTGGGTGTGGTGACACACACCTGTGGTCCCAGCGCTCTGGGAGGCTGAAGCAGGACGATCCCCTGTTTGAGCACAGCCTGAGAAACTTAGCAATTTAGTAAGACTTTTTCTTCAAATAAGAAATTAAAAATGGCTGGAGATACAGTTCAGCATGAAGGCAGTGGTTTTAATTCCTAGTACAAAAAAAAAAAAAAAAAACACCACACACAAAAAACATGTGACATTTGGGAAATTCCCTTTGAGGAGGAGGCCCTCAGGGAGAGGGCCTGAGGGAGGTGTTGAAACTTGGACTCCAGGGGCCCACTGGTTTGCGAAGGGGAAAGATGGCCCAAATTGGTATAAGGGTGAGCATTGGGAAGCTGGCCTCTGCTTCTCACACGAGTCCCTCAGCCTCCTCCTGTGTCTGGCCACAGCCATCCCCATGTCACTGCCACCAATACAGTCATTTTCCAACATCCCATTCTGCTATTTCTACTACCCTCAGCTACACAGAGAGAAATGAGGGATCCAGACACTGTCACGCAATGAGCACTATGGATCCAACCTTGGTAAGGCCTTGGTGGTCTCAAGTCTTTGCACCCCTTGAGCTCCCCACCCCTCTCTGGCTCAGCAGGTGACCTTGGCTCCCCTTCCCTTTCCTCCCAGCTGAAGAACATGAGTGGACTCCCTCGCCAGCAGTCCCTGCCTCCCCATCCTTCCTCCTCTGAGTGTGTCCCTGTCCTCTCTCGGGAAGGTCTTGAGTGTCCTCTCAGTGGTGCTTTCTGGCAGTGTCCAACCCTTCCACACCTTCCTGGAGGCACTCTTTCTCAGCATTATAATTACTGGAGCCCACGTGAGTCCAGCTTTCTGCCCACTGAGCATCTGGCGATTGTCCCTCTCTAAAGACCTTCTCCTGAGTGGCTATAAAATGCACATTTCTCTTCCTGTCCCCTTGATGGCTCCTTTTGGTCCCCTTCACTGCTCCCTGTCTCCTGCTTGTTTCTTTATTGTATCATTACATGGAATCCTAGCTCAGTTTTCTTTTATTCTTATTGAAGATACTTCCCTTGGGAAAGTATGAATATCAATTACAAACTGAGTACTAACACATCTGTATATCTGGTCCAGGAATATTCATCTGTGTGTGTGTCTGTCTGTCTGTCTGTCTGTCTGTCTGCCTATCTCTCTGTCTGTCTGTCTCCCTCTTTCTCTCTCTCTGACTTTTATAAGTCTAACATGAAGCAACAGTTCGGCAGGGTGGCAGGAACTCTCCCAGGCACTGAGGTGACAAAGGCACTAACACAAGGTATGTGCACTCAGCTAAGCCAGTTAGCAAAGCCGTGAGCTTTGGAAAAACCTGTGACACCCTCACTCCAAATACACCAGTGGATTCTGAATAAACGTTGCCTCTCTTTATTCACTGCTGCTGCTTGTATTACAGTAGTGTGTGTGTGTGTGTGTGTGTGTGTGTGTGTGTGTGTGTGTTTACTGTAACTCAGTATCTTGCAAAGTTCTTCTACCAGAAATCACAAAATCACCCTGTAAATTAGCTCCCTTAGCCGGGAGCTTAGCTCTTCAGCAGCAGGGCATTAAGATGAAAAGGATGAAAAGCGGCCTTTACTCTTAAGACCTCTTGCAGGAGACTCCTCCTACAGCCCCTGCAACCCACTTTCCCGGCTCAGCTGTCTTCTCAGAGGCAAGTGGTCACTTCCTCCGTAGTGCTCACGGAGCTCTCGGTGTGCGCCTCCATCTATCACCTCCTGTGGAGTTTTATGGTGATTTATTAATCATCTCTCTCTTCCACTGGCCTGTGGGCTTCTCCAAGGCAGACAGCCTGTCTGGCTTCCCATCTATTTTTGTCCCCTGGCTCGGAGACGGCACGTGATGGGCCAGTGCTCCAGGAGCTACCGCTACCTGCTGCTGCTTCCCTTCCCTCCCACTCCCCTCCTCTCCGCCCCGCTCAGCACTGTTCCAAGCCCACTCT